ACCAAGCTCTAGCAACGTGGACGCAGGCCTAAACGCCTCCGCGAGGCTCTCCGCGCTCGCCTCGGGTATTTGGTGCTCGGCCAACAATTTTCGCCGCTCGTACGCGCGCGAGCAAGTGGCTGCGTACAATGTCAATTAGCGACTTCCTCGAAAACAAGGTGGAAGAGACGTGCTCGGGCGCGTACCCGCTTGCCCTGGTTCGCCCTTCTCCCCCAGTCCCTTCGCTTTAACGCGGATTAATCTGTTTACGTCTTACCAGAAAGTCGGACTGATCGAGCTTCCCGATGAGATTGGTGAACGAGCTCCTGTCGGCGAACAGCCAGATACCGACAGTCAGTGCCGCTCCTCCGGCGATCTGTAAAACACCGGGCTTTAATGTGTAGGTTTTCCGTTCTGCTTCGCGGACCTCAAGGCTGCCGCGCCGAAGAAGGCAGAGGCCCGACGCGCTCTCGCCTCGCCGGGCGAGGCAGGATTTTTGCGAAAAAAAGTTTCACTCCGCGACCGCCTCTCTCGGCGCCGAGGCAGCCGTCCCCGATCTGCCCGCGATAATTCGACAGCCCTCTTCAAGGCTGCTGGTACTAGACGGTTGAATTCATTCGCGAGAGAAACGTACGCGCGAATTCCGCTCTCGCAGAAAAGTTGCGGGGTCGATTGGCGAAAAGCCACGCGGCGCCCAATCAACTTGCGACTCTTCTGTAAAAGCAGAATTTGCGTGTACGTTTCTCCCTCGAATTAATTCAAGTATCGAGCCCCTGGTTCCCAACTGCACGCTGTGCGTCACGTCCCGTGTCAAGGAGCAACATGGATTTTCTTTCTGCGTTCTACGTCGAAATAGGTCAGTTCTCTCGCGCGTATACCTGTCGCTCGTGCTCGATAGACCGGATTTATTTACCGAGGACTCTCTTTCTAATTCATGAATTACGCGCTACGTGAATCTTGATCGACTGTCACAAGGTGCCTCGATCATAGTAGAATAAACGGCATACAAATTGAGCACTACGCTGTATTTTCACCGACGAGAGACGACTAGTGGTGCTGTCGACACCTTTTTTATCAATCCGTATTATCGAGCACGAGCGCGCTGCATTGCGAAACGGTTTACCATTTAATTCCTGATATCGTAATGTGTCTGAGAAACCAGAAGCCCCAGCGGCCACGAATCGAGGGATTATTTTACAGAGAGAAGATTTCAACTGTACATTTCGCCGAGCAAGTTTGCGCGTATTCCTCCGACGGATTAACCCTTCTTAACTCTTTGATACTGCGCGCATAATAGGCTTACAAAACGAGCGGGAAATGCCTCGATAATCCCAAGGTGAGGACCTCGCGACGATGGAACGGCGCTCACCGGATAATTAACTGATATCGCAACATTGATGAATTACGATCCTTGTGTCTCGCGAACATAGGGATATTCTGATTTAGACGGTTAGGGTCTATCCAAACTTGCATAAACATATGCACAAGGAATCTGATTGGGCCACAACGCACGCATAAGGAAATAGGCCAATCAATTTCTTCACGCATACACTGACAAAAAAAATTCTTTTTTAAGTAATAAATGATTCACTTAAAATTATTTTTTTACTGAAGTTAAATATTTATTCTATTTAAATAAAAATATCAAATTTCAAGGAAATCTATGAATTATATTAAGTACATTAATTTAAATCATTACATTTTCTACATTCAAATAAAGATTTCATGAGATACAGAATACTATTTATTAGATGAAATAATTGTTTTTGTTAAATAGGAAAACCAATTTTGTTCGCTGTGAAAAGTAGATCTTGGTGAACATTTTATAGAATTAAAATAAAATTTTTGTAATTTAAAATTATCTATTCTTTGATATTTAATAACTACTTACATTAAAGCAACGTATGTTTTGATTTGTTTATTATTTTTTAAAAAGTTAATAAGCTATTAGGAGCCACCTAATGAATAATTTTCTTGAGTAGAGTAATATTTTTTTTGATTAAAATATTTTTTTATCAGTGCATGCCTGTGCACCTGTGCAAGTTCGTCTGGATAGACCCTTACCGTGAAAGACTCGTGTACTTACGAAGAAAACGAAGTTGAAGAAGCATAGGAAATACTTGGCGCACTGCGACATGCAACTCATTTTCGGTGATTATTTCTTAACTGCACCTGCAACAAATTAGTTTACTTTATTGCATATGTCTGACAATTACATATGTAAGTAAATAACATATGTGAGTAAGCGTTCTTATAGTCACCAGTGGTAAATTACAAGTATAAAATGTGCTCATTTTGTTTTTCTCACTACAACCGTTTTTATGCATCCAAACTATTGTCACTTGATAAGGACCTGGAATTAGGTCGAAACGTGAAATAAATCATTTTAATCTTGCCAGTCTGGTCGACTACAAGCTCTCTTTCATTTGTAGGTAAATAAATTAACGCAATTAGAAATATAAACGCCATTTAGGACCTGGCACCCCAGACGGGTTAGGGGGTTGTTGTAATGAATGGCTAAGTACCTATAGCACTTAAAATAATTTATCCAAATCGTTCAGCGATTTTATAACACGTGAATTCACTGGCGATAATGATTCCACCTAATGAAAAACCTTGCGTTATATGTCCGGAAAGTATCGGCGCGCAGGACAGGTGGGAAAAAATACTGGATTCACATAGTAATTGGCTACCTCCACCTGTGCCAGGTCCTAAATGGCGTTTATGTTTCTAATTGATTAAAATCTTAGAAAGGACCGAGTTAAAAAATTAAATGAACGCGTTGGTTGATAGACGCCGGATATTTCGGTTCGAGGCGTCTTTCATTTACGGATCCTTGGATCAACTTGGAGCTGATTTTTCCTCGACACGATCGCAGAGAAACTGCGAGTTCCCGAGTTGTTGTAACAAGTGAAACTGAAGAAGACTGTTTGGGAGCAAAGTGTTAAGGATGCCGATAACGCGAACGCAAATTTCATCCTTTGTTTAACTTCAAGTGACTCTCTTTGATTCGTGATCTCTTTCTCGACGAAAACTTGACCTGAAATGAATTCAAGAACGCACGTAGATAAAAGATGGCTCGCCAAGTTGTACGAAACGTGTTAGACGTGCAATTTAATTAAAATTTACAACAGCTGGCAAATATTTATGTCGGTATCACATTTTCGCGGTACGACGGAGAGTAGAAGGAAATGTGCTAAAAAGATGATAAAAGTAGAGAACTCGAGCGCGAACCGTAACGCGCCGCTAAAGCGCGACCAGTAACGAGGTCCACGTGAAAAAAAAAGCGCGTTTAAATCTGTCGATTGTCGTGCTCGAAGTCTGTCTCGATGCGGAGCTGATTTTGCGACGGATAAATACCCGGCGACTGGTTAATTAACGTAGGCGAGCGTGCAAAAGTGTTCGTGTCGTCGCTCGCCGTGGGCGGAAAACAAAGCGAGGTGAATTGTCCAAATTAGAGCCTGGGAGCTTGTTGCCAATCAGTCTCAAGGATGTTATCTTCTTCGTGGACGTTGACGCGCGAATTAAAGCGACTCGGGCAATCTGGAGGCTACGTGTCCTTGGCTGTTCTACGAAACGGTCTCTACTGGCACTCGTAATCCGTTCTTATAATATCAAGTACGGTCGCGATGCGTCGTGAACCAATCGCAGAATCGTATTAGCAACTTAAGACGTTGCTTAAGACGATTTTGAGATAAGAACGGACTATGAAACAGTTGGCGCTTTCCACTCGGCGACACAAGTCGACGCGAGCGGTCAGTCCGTCCCTTTTCGACGTCCAGCGAACAAGGACAAAATGATACCTGTGTCAGCTCGTGTCGGTAAATGGAAAGCACCGAGTAACAAGCGTGACGCTGCTCGCAGGTCGAGACGGTCTCCGGAATTTCGAGACTCGCGGGAATCACGAACAAATATAGATATCACTTATCGCGCCCCTATTTCAGAAAGATCCCCGATGTCGAGAATTAAAACGACAAACAACGACCTGTCTAGAGATATCGCCGTGACATTTCTGTTTTTCTACACGCAGAGAATTTTCTCTTCAAATTTATCCTGAAGAATCATGTAATCGCGAGACGACACGGCACTTCGGACAATTTTATCAGACTTTTTGGAAATCTCACCGTACATTTTACTAGTAAAACACGTACTAAGTGTAATCACCAGTGGAATGTACGGTAAAATTTCAAAAAACTCTGATAATGTCCTCCAAAATGCCACGTTGTCCCACGATTACGTGATTTTCAGGGTAAACTTGAAGAGATTCTCTCCGCGCGCGCGAATCTATGTCGAATGTCGCTTCCATCATTTCGACGCGCAACGTTGCATTACACCGCCGCATTCACAAAGATCCTTTTCCGCGTTTCCAGATTTACAGACCCTCGGGGAGGTTCGGCTTGGTCTCTCTTTCTCTCTCTAGGTGCACCGCCACGATTCCGCAAACGCACTGCGATTATCACCGTCAGTTCTGTCACTGCGTCGTCCCTACTCTAGTTTGCCCTCTGTATCGCTACTATTATCTCCCCCCGCCTCGTCCTTTTCCCTGCATTCATCTTACCACGACACTTCTGTAATATCGCTCGCCCCTTTTCTTATATCACTGCGGGCTCGCTACCGCGACGAGGTCGACGAATAAACAAACGGTACGGGCGAACGTCTTCATCTCGCGCGCGGCAAGTATCAGGGTCATCGGATAGAGCCACTTTATGGCTCTACCTCGGAGTTGGGCTTGTGCGCGAGCCGAGCGGGGATCAGCAACGCGGAACCGCGGGAGAGGCTCGATCAACCGACCCGATATCGAATATCCAGAGCACGGTTCTCGGTTACTATTACGCTCCGAGAGCTCCGTACCGTCCCCCCTGTCCGTCGCGCGCGTCTCGCGTTTCCTCGGTGCAGCAGCGGTATCGACTGCGAGCTGCTGCTGCTGCTGTCACCGCCGCCGCCGCCGCCGCCGCCGCCGCCGCGCCGCAGCAGCCGCCGCTGCTGGTCCAGCGCGGGAGGATCCCGCGTAGTTCCCGCGACCTCGCGATCCTCGGCGTGACGAACGCGACGCACGCTCGAGGCTCGCCGCGGAATCCGTCCAAGGCGGGAAGAAAGGCAGAGACGAAGAAAGAGGATGATGGAGGAAGAGGATGATGGAGGAAGAGGAAGAACGGGAGAAACGTCCGCGAGACGTTGAAGAGCCGGGGACCAGGGGAATCGAGAACGCGCGAATTTAGCTCCGCCGTGCCGCGCGCCGAGGGCGCAGCTCCCGTTCCTGGAAATCGATGACTGCCAGGGACGAACGCGGCGCGGTCCCTCCGGCGCGGTCCTGACGCGGGAGCGAGTCAACGACACGCGGAAAATTGGATCAACCGATAGCGCGAGATGCCGGGGTTCCAGGTCAGTAGGTCGCCGCGGCGCGCTGCGCTGCGCGGGACCGAGCCCGAACCGAGGAGAGGCTGCTCCTCCTCGTCTCTCCATCCCCCCCGGTCTCCTCCAGGCGCGCAAAAACTCGCCTCCGCGAGTCGACGGCACTAAAGCGCGAACCGGGGCTCCCTTTTGCTCACGGCGTTTTTCTCGGGGCCCCCCGCGCGATTCCTACGGCCGATATTCGCAGCAGCTCCGAGGATAGCGTAAATTTCTCCCCGCACGTCGAGATGAATCGGACGATGCGCCGAAATACGCTCACCTACCCCCCCCCCCTGGTCGCCCCGCGTTCACAGGATCGATCTACGCGCGTCCCAGATTTCTCCGCGAGAACAAACGCTACTTTTAACCGACGATCGAGAGTCAAGCGCGGATATTGGCGCACGCCGGAAGCCAACGATCTGCTCAAACTGATGCCGCGAACACAAAACGTTCGGGACGTTGCGGCCCAACCTCGACAGCCTCTTCAGCGACGTCCATGGTGCTCCGTCAGGCTATCGATGAATGCTTGAAGACTGATTGGTCAGAAAGTTACCTGGTGCCGCGTTTGACTGTCGCTGCTCCTTTATCAACTCCACGTTTTTTTTTTCGTTATATCTAGTGTTCTTCGATGAATCGGTCGCAGCTCGTGCTTAATTTGTACGAGGGAATCCACGGCGCGGATTTTTCATCAATCTCTGAATACGGATATGAGTTATGACGTGTGCGAAGTAACGAATTTACTTCAACGCACGGTGCACGAGAGAGAAAGAGATACGTTGTAACGTTTTTTTTTGCCTCCGACGTCTTATTTTCTCATCTCCCCTTTTGGCTTTCCCGTCTGGAGCGCCGCGCTTTCCGCGATATTTAAAGTTTCACGGGAAATATATGTGCAAACACGTCTTTACGCGCGTGCAAGCGGAGGAGGGTCTGATTATTTTCAAGACGTGTATGCAGGACGCGTCGCCTCTTTAAAAACGCAGGACGCCGTTCCTCCGCTAGGACGCTCCTCCTCCCGCGAGAGCGAACTCAGCCAGAATTTTCCTCCGCCTGTCCCGGTGACCTTCGACGATTTCGCGTCCTCTTTTCGTGGGGCAGCCGGAGATACGAGCCAGATACGTGCGAATCGAGGATTTTTCGTGTCGAATCGAACCCTCCATTTCCTCGTTCGAATCCGAATCGAACTGAATCAACGAAATTTCATTCGAATCGAATTAGGTCGAGTCGAATCGCCGAAACACTATTTTGCAATTCACGATATAATTGTTAGAGTGACCTTTAACACGTAGATAGCAAGAGAATAATCTGATATGGAAAGTTATAATATAGATTGTCTATGAGGAGGACATTTTTTTCTTAAAATTTACCCTGAGAGTTGTGTAATTGTGGGACAACATGGCAGTTTTCCGAAATTTTACTACACATTTTACTATAAGTAGAATGTATGGTAGAACTTGAAAAAACTCTCATAAAGGCGAATCGAGTCCGGACGAGAGGAATAGACCTGGGCCGCATTCGGAAACATCAGCCGAGTGTCCCAGTGCATCAGTTTATTTTTGTTGCTCCACTCGTCAAAATGCCACGTTGTCCCACGATTACATGATTTTCAGGGTACACTTTAAGGGAAAATTCTCTCCGTGTAATATTAATTCGTGTGCACAAACGTATTTAAATATTTAATAGAGAACCAATAAAATATACTTCATTTAATGCCACGGTAACTAAAACAATTAGGCGAGAAATCATAGATAAATGATTAAAATACTACGCGTAGTATCCTGTTATACACATATTAATTAAATGAAATCAAACAATAGAGCAGTTTATTTCATTATCAGTACTCTTTAGATTGGATTCGAACGTAAGAAATCGCATTCTATTGCTACAATTAGCCGCTCAGTGAGTCGTAGTACTGAATGCGTCCGTTGAATGTACCAATTAACACGACCGTACCGTTCTGCTTACGAACGGGAAACACGATTTTAAGCTCGACAATACACGCGATTCGCACCCGTGCCATCCAGATTCCAAGTCTTTTCCGAACGGCCCGGTTACGAGTCGTCGAAATTCAAATGGCTCGCACACATCTCGTGCGAACGGAACCAATCCGGAACAGCCCGGTGTGTACACATATAATCGCCGCTACGCACGGCAGACGCACGCGACGTATCGCGAATACCGCGCGTGTTTAACAATCCCGCTCAGGCGAGCTGAACGTCGCGCGCGCGCGCGCACGCGGAGATCTCAAGGCGAGCCTATCTATCCTGGGCTATGTGCATGCTAATGCGGCCATCGGTAATGGCGTTGCGGATGCACTACAGTCGCAATTATTATTCGCGTGCACGGGCACGTCCCGACCGGCGCACGGAAAAGCTGAGCGTTTTCATTACGCGCGTTATCCCTGGCAAAAACGACCTTGTCTCTCTCTCTCTCTCTCTGTTTTTCCCTCCGGGCCGAGTAATCGCGGCTCACGCGTGCGGTTCGCTCATAGTGTAACTGGCAGGTCCACGCTCTGCCGGCCCCTTTGATCTTTGCCGGGACCCCTTTGGTCCCGATCACGTGATATTCCGCCATACACCCGGGCAGGATCCAGCGACGATGTGTGTATGGACCCAGGACCCAGGAATATCTGGACGGAGCATGAGGTATCTCTTTTGGACGAGGGAGTGAAGCCTGAGAAGTGAGGGGAAGATTCACTGCGACCACCTTGGTCGTTCATGTAGGACCCTGTGTCCTTCGAGCTAAGGCTGTATCACGAAATATAGGCCGGTATTCATAGTTCGTTCTTATATTTAAGATCATCTTAAGTATACTCTTAATGCGTTTTCAACCGATCGCAGAGTCGTACTAGCGTAAGACAACACTTGAGATGATTTTGAAATAAGAATCGACTATGAATACCGGCCACAGTCATCGCCACCATCTTGGTTGTTCATGTATACCCCTTGCCTCTCAGGCTTCATCCCCGCGCAAGTACGCTCCGTCCAGATATTCCTAGGTCCATGATGTATACGTACTCGTCAAAGCCACACTGTCGCACATACAACTTTGCCCCCATTGGTCTGCCCAGAACAATGTCGGATACGCAGAAGGGATCGACGCAAGCCGAAACAAATGACGGAGTGGACCTGCTGGTTACACCGTGGTTCGCTTTTCGGCGCGAGAGGAATCGTCCTGGGACGCGAGAAGAAAGTGAATCTCGCGCGGGTGAAAGTCCCGCAGAAGTAAATCGTCCGCGATATGAGCGACGGGGTCGATTTTCGTCGTCGATCTCGCGACGGCTGGGTTCTCAAAGTCGACGTCTCCCGGCGAGAAGCCTCGACGCCGGAAGGGAACGTCACGTTGACCCTTTACGGTCGGCGAATCGAGTCCGGATGAGCGGAATAGACCAGGGGCTCGATTCTTCAATTCATTCGAATTTGAAGAGAAACGTATGCGAAAATCCTGCTCTCACAGAAAAGTCGAAAATCGATTGGTTAAAAACCACGCGAATAGCCCGATCAACTTGCCACTTTTCTTTAAGAGCAGAAAAGTTTCTCCTTCGAATGAATTCAAGAATCGAGCCCCTGGGCTGCGTTCGGAAACATCAGCCGAGTGCCCCGGTGTACCAGTTTATCTTTGTTGCTCACTCGAATGTTAAACAAGGATAAAATGATACACTGGGGCACTCGGCTGATGTTTCCGAGTGTAGCTCTAGATACAAATATCGCAGCCCGACGATCGGTTTTCGTTTCGGAGAGACAAGTGAACTCTATACTTTACTGGAACACCTGCTCAAGGGTGCGTTCGGGTGCTCGCTATCAACGCTACTTAGCGCTGGAAGCGTCGTTCTATCTTTCTTCGACGCATCATGAGCAACGGAGATAGAATGACGCTTTCAGCGCTAAGTAGCGCTGATAGTGAGCTCCTGAACGAACCCCAAGTGGAAGAAGATGAACAGAGACGGACAAGTGGGTACCACTGCTCTCTTCCTGTAATTCTGATCAGTAATTCTGATTGGTCAGCGATTTTCTCACTTGCACACGGAGAGAATTCTCTCTCAAAATTTACCCTGAAAGTCACGTTAACCGTGAGACAACGCGGCATTTGCTGGTAAATACAATAAAGTCCTTCAAAATGCCACGTTGTCCCGCGCGATTGCACGATTTTCAGGATAAACCTTAAGAGAAAATTCTCCCCGTGTATAAGGTGAGATGGAAAATCGTTGACCCAATTACTAGAAAGAGATGCAGACGGCACTCACTCATTCGTCTCACTCTGCCCATCTTCTTGACACAATCGCAGGTATTCTAGGTGTAGGATAAAATTCACTAGGAGGGACACGTTCCTAGGGCACGTCCTTCATCCCGAGTTTCCTTTTTCTCGCCTTTCCCGTGGTCGTTAACGCGGCGCCGCCCGGTTTTTCCGGTGTAGTCTCTCTGATCAGAGTCTGGCCAACGGACGGCAACGTTTGATTG